CGACTCGCGCTCCAGAACTCCGCGCTTCTGACTCGTCACTTCCTGAGTTCCTGGACTTCAGTCGTTTTTCGGGTTTGGTTTCCGTTTTGGCGATGAATTCAAAAGCTTCGACGATTTTGTTCGGATCCGCTCGGAAGTGACACCAGGGACCCGCCTGACCCCGCGCCTCGGAGCGATTCGAGGCCAGCGCGACAGCGCGGAGTTTTGGCCCGCGTCGTTCTCGGCGAAGAGCCCCGGCCTCGAGACCTGCGACGGCTGCAGCCTCGACCCCGAGGATCTCACCATCGCACCTCGGAATTCTCTTTTGACGAGTGGTTGACCAGAAGCCGTAAGTTTTTGCAGGCGGGATAGGTCTTGATCGAACCGGGTTTGTACGGTGAGCAGGGGTTGGCTCCTGGGGATGTACGTCTGGTCGACCAGAAGCCGTAAGTTTTTGCAGGCGGGATAGGTCTTGATCGAACCGGTTGGCTCCTGGGGATGTACGTTTGGTCGACCAGAAGCCGTTTTTGCAGGCGGGATAGGTTTTGATCGAACCGGGTTTGTACGGTGAGCAGGGGTTGGCTCCTGGGGATGTACGTCTGGTCGACCAGAAGCCGTAAGTTTTTGCAGGCGGGATAGGTCTTGATCGAACCGGGTTTGTACAGTGAGCAGGGGTTGGCTCCTGGGGATGTACGTCTGGTCGACCAGAAGCCGTTTTTGCAGGCGGGATAGGTTTTGATCGAACCGGGTTTGTACGGTGAGCAGGGATTGGCTCCTGGGGATGTACGTCCGGTCGACCAGAAGCCGTTTTTGCAGGCGGGATAGGTTTTGATCGAACCGGGTTTGTACGGTGAGCAGGGGTTGGCTACCTTTAACCTGCGGATGTGACCTCGAAAACGGTAATTAAAATCATGGAGCTAGCTTGTGCTTGTGTGGGTATCCTTTTCAGGTTGAAAGGAAAACCGCGGTGCCATTTCCCCCTGCCCTCAACTTAGACTGATACCCACGTCCCCAGTTTCCGCACTGTCACTTTTTGGGGAAACTGGTTCGATGTTGAAAGAAGCCTAAAGGGTCCGTTCCCTTCCTTTCAGTCCTTAGTTGACCAAATCGACTCGAAATGACCTTTTGATTCTTCAGTTTGGTCTATACCTGGACCCTCAACAAGGAACAACGTGTTGCTTATTACGCTTGTTTTTGCTTATTTTGCCAAATGAGCGAAATTTCCGAAATCCAGGCGGAAACTGCAAATTGCATGTTTCGCAGCGATTTCTGCTGAATTAGCCTGATCTTATACATCGACCAGCGTTTCTCGAAGGGCTTTCATCACAACCCCAAACAAGGTAAGGTTCAGCTAGGAATTTGCCCCCAACTGTTGGTGAGGAATGGTACTCAGCATGGTAGTTTGATGACTTACAGGTTCAAAGGGTGTAGAGTTCGTAGGCTTGGAATTGACCATGGAGTTGAGGGCCAAGTAGTGGCTGGCAAGCAACCATGGACACGTCGAAGCGAAATTCATGTTTGTTTCCTTTTTTTGGGGTAAATAAGCGTTTTTTCCAACAATTCACGTTATTGTTTGCTTTTTATAAGGAAAATGTTTGGAAATGGTTCTTAAAGATGTAGTCAAAGTCACAAAAGGTGATCACGTTGTTTCCAGGTCCCTAGGCGGCAAGGCGCTCCCCGCGAAACTTTGGGGGGGTCGGACGCTCGGACAGCCCCTCCCAGTTATACCCCTCTTGGCAACCAGCAGAGTGCCTTTGGTGTAAGAGTGGTTCCCTTGGTCAGCTGGAGCCCCAAGAAAAAGTCGATTCCGATTTTTTTTTTCCCTTGGTCAGCTGGAGCCCCCCCAAGAAAAAGTCGATTCCGATTTTTCCGAAATTTGTGGCATTCGGCCGCCTTCAAAAAGGGGCCAAGTACCCAGCAACAAAAATGCGACCGATCGCGGGGAGCCGGGCTTCAGGCACTTTAGGCCCAGGTGTTTTTGAAGCGCAAAGACATGGGTGCGAAGCATCGATGTTGATGAACTGATCCTGGGAAAGCCAGAAGGGGAATGGAGTGTGTTCCGATTTGTCCACTATTTGGCACCCAGTTGCTCAACTCCCTTCCCTCTTTTTGATGAGTTGCTACTGGTTACTAGGAAATCTGTGCGTTCAACATTGGGATTCCAATGGCTTGGTCATGCTACTCTTCTGGTGGCAAGTGTTGTTTTCTGTGTTTAGTGTCGTTGGTGTTGGGTTGGTACTACTCATCTTGTACCTTTGGTGGGGGTACAACCTCTCAAAGGTGTTGATGTAGTTGTCTTCTCTCATGATAAAGCTGCCTCTCTTGGGGGATCCATGTTGGATTGACAGCTGAGGGTGCTTTTCATGAAACAAAGATACAAGAAAGAACGACAGAAACGAAACACGAGTACAGACAACAGGGAGATAGAAAGCAAGCGAGAGAGAGAGAGAGAGACCGTGAGAGGGAGAAAGAGAGAGAGAGAGAGAGAGAGAGAGAGCGAGAGAGAGAGAGAGCGAGCGAGCGAGCGAGCGAGCGAGCAAGAGAGAGAGAGAGTGTGAGAGAGAGAGGGGGAAAGCATAGTTGAGGGCGTGCTTTCTGCCTGCTTTCTCATGGCGAACTTGGCAGAGTGCTTCGTGTGCCGAGGACTTTGGTTTGAGCACAGTGCCCACCGGCACAAGCGGCACGGGCGCAACACGGGATGCCACGGTGAGCCTGTGGTGATGGCTGCTTCCCCCATGAGCACAAATTCTTTGGTTGTGGTAAAAGCCTGTCGAAACCGTTCATAGCCATCTCAGTGGAGCCAAGCGTTCATGGGTTTCGGGCGCACGTTTGGCCTGTTGGGCGCTGCGGCTCGAAAGGAGAACGCCCCCCAAATGTGAAGTTGATTTGCCGCCAGTGAAAGGAGACTAAGATGGAAGTCAAAAGGGAGCTCAGGCGTCTTTCAGTTGTTTGTTGGCTTGCATGTGAACAACGGCAACCCAAAACAGATTCCTTCAAATCTCCTTCAGTTGGTTTGTCGGTTTCCATCTGAAAAATGCAGGAAGGGGGTCAATCCGACTCACCCTCCAAAAAAAGATATTTAAACATTCATAGTCCCATTTTGTTCCAGGTTGCCGCGTGGCTTGGATTTGGGTTTGAACCCCTTCTTGTAGCTGGCAAAACGGAGCCCGAACCTTCAAACCGCCAATCTAAGCAGGAAAGCTGCATGTTGGTGATATCCAAGTTTGTGTTTCGGTTTGTTAGTTTCATGTGGGGTTCCAAGAGGGCAAGCAGCGCTTGATTCTTCTTTGCTCCATCCCGCGGATCCCGCGGGCCGGGCGTGAACAAATGGCCCCGCAACGCATGGCACATCCCCAGCTGGCTCGCATCCCCTTAAGTGGATCCGGATAAGCTTAGCTTGCGGCAAAGGGACGTAAAGGGACTCACCATTTGAAGTTTGAAAGTTCGAATTCCAGAGGTTCCCCACCCAACACAAGAAGCAGAAACGCCAGACTTGAGCCTGGTCCTAGTGCAGGTTTTACTTATGCCTCACGTACTTTTGTTGATTCCTTTATGTTTTTACCCTGAAAGGGCATGGCGCTTTCGGGATCTTGTAAAACTCTTGAGAAAGTAGACCGGGAACTTGGATCTGAAAAGCCTTCCAAAAACCAGACAGCTTGTGTTGGAACATCATGAGCTCTTGTAGGCGGGATGTGTTTTTGAACATGTTTTGTTTGGTTGGACTTTGTTGCTGCTTGCTGGGTTGAAACTGCAGTGTTTGCGACCTACAATTAACGGATTCGCACTTTTGGTGTTTGGCAAAATGAACACGGGAAGCACGAGCCTTTTTCGGAGAATCCGAGGATGCGCACAAGTTAGGCGCCATTCCTGGCATTGATTATCTGATTTGCTGGGGTCCAACTCCCGGGTCATGGCCCGTGATTGCTGTGAAGCAAGGTTGGAACCCGTACTCTTTTTTAGGAGTGTCTTTGAGAGGCTCAGCCTGCACTCATCGAATAGCTGCCGCCAGAAAACTGGAAACCTGCTGCCATGGTTGTTTTGACCTCAACGCTTGAACTGTTTCAGATGTTCATGAGACGCGTCTTGTTTCCTTTTTCTTTTCGTTTTGTTTCTTCTTTTTTTCCGTCAAGAACCCTTGGGAGCTGATTCCCGGGTAAAGGAGCTCATGGCCACAGATTTTGGAACTCTGGCGGCGAGAATCTGCGCAGCCCTTTGTTTACAGTAGCTTTCTTTCCACCCAGAGGCTCCCGATGGATTTAGGGCCTTCAAATAACCTGGTTTTGAGACCCCCATTCAAGGGGCCGGGTCTTCCATTGCAAGCCCCTGGAGCCTCTAGGCAAAAAAAACACTTTAAAATTTGCATTACTCGTTGGATTCACTTTCGTGCTCTCTACTACCCTTTTCAAATTACAACGGGATCCACGGATCGGGTCGGGCTTTTTGGAACCCAAGTGGTGTGTCCGGTGGCAAAAGTCCCAAGCTGCCATATGCGCACAGAATTCATTGCGTGTGTTTAGCAAACGTCCTGAAGAATTTCCTGTGGCTTGTTTCCATGAATTGCTCATCCGATTTGCCTCAACACAAATGTCAAGCTTTTCGCTTACGTTGACTACAACCAAGGTTGGTGTTCAAGCATGTTTGAACAGCCGGGTTTTAGCACCCTCCGTATGAAGCTCACTGGGGTCTCGTTGGTTTTGCCCTCCTTGGCTGGTCCGTACTCGTTTGCAGACAAACATTCACTTCCTGAGTTCCTGGACTTCATACTTTTTGGGAGGATCGTTTTAAACACGTTTGATTGTTGTTTTGGCCGTCCACTCAAAAAGTGAGAATATGGAATCGAAGAAGGAATGTCCTTTCTGGGGACTGTCTATGGGGGGGGCTGCTTTGTTGGAGGGGAACAACCCACTTTTTTCGTTCCCCGTTGATTTGCAGGGGATTTCTGGGAATCAACACCACGACAAAGCTTATCCCTTCTTAATTAGCCGCTGAACTCCGGATAGTTTGCAGTGCGCAGACGTCAGGACTGGGCGGAGAAGAAAAATCAGGAGGAGTCCAAGCAGTCGCAGGAGCTCGCCCTATATTGGCAAACTGCTTCTTTCATTTGCGTTAGGCTTATCCCAACTTAAAACTTTCTTCAAAAGGTGGACCCTCCGATGTTCGCCTAGACAAGAGAGCGTCCTTCAGTTGTTCCTGTCAATGCACCCCAGTTAGGCACCGCAGCTAGGCACCGGACCAGTCATACGCCACCTAAATCCAAATTCATTCGCCGCAAGCTGCTTGTTCTTGCAACTCGAAATGACCGAACATGGCATGCTGGGCGTTTTTGAATACCAAAACCAACCAGTCTTGCCACTTTGTTAAATGAAACTACTACTTATTCTTAACCCGAAGCAACCAAACAATGCTTGCGTTTTAAAGCCCAAATCCAAAGTTGCTCATTTTCTTCAATCCAGCAACCAAACGTTGCTTGCATTACCCAAGCCAACCGCAAACTGCTGTTCTTGCTGACCCGAACCAACCGAACATAGCTGGTTTATTGAACGCTACATTCAACCGTGCTTGCTTTACTTAACCCATCCAAAACAATGTCTGTTTGCTGAACCATAACCTGAGCCAACGACAAGTTGCTAATTCCTGTTTAACCGAGCCAACCAAACATTGCTCGTGTGTAAACCCTGAGCCCAGACCACGTGTTGTTTCACACAAACCAAGGATTGCTGCTTTGCGTATCCGCCAGTCAAACATTGCTTGTTTTTGTAATTACCCGGACCAACCTCAGATAACCCATTCAGCAGGGGCCGGTTCCCTGGTTCCTCTCGCCTGATTCTAGCGGGAAACACGCACGATGCCATGTGCGCAAAGAGTGCCATAAGAAGGCTATTGTTTGGGCACCCACGGGACGCGTGGACAGCCCCCGTTTTGCCACAATCCAGGCGCATGTTTTAGCACATGCAATTGTCTGGGGTTGTGCACGTGAAAGAAAATAACCCTGGATCCCACTTCCATTCGCTACTTACTGAACTACCGTTTTCTTGCAATCGATTGTTAATTACTCATGTTTTCGCGCAATTTTCAGCCGCAGAACCCGCTGACCTGTTGACTCGCCCCCGCACCCCACTTGGATATAAGGTTTCTAACGTCTTGCCTGCAACTCGCTTCAAGGCGAAGTGTGGGGAAGATGCGGCGGCACGTGCCTCGGAACCCTCTTGGCCATATCTCAGCTCCCCAGCACGTCTGAGAAGCAGCCGTTCTTTGAGCCGCAAAAATACGACCACTGCGCCAAGCATCCGGTCACTCTGGCCACCACGGGCTCTAGTTGTAATGCGCCCCGTCATGCAGGCCCCAAACATCTTGAGCAAGAGGCGGGAGTCGGAAAACATGAGAAAGCGGCTGAGTGTTTTGTTTGTGAATTTTGCAGTTTTTTTTCGTGGGAATCTTGCCCTAGAGAGGGTTTGGCTGAAACAAATCCGACGCATGCCAAACATGCCATTTATGCCCACCGACAACGAAAGAATGGAAGAGAAACATGGAAACGGAACTAGCTGAGATTCAGCAACTAGCCTCTACTGTCAGGATTTTCTTCCGGAATCCGCTCCTTCGGTCGCCCAGCCAATTGCTCGTTCAGTGTTCGAAGCCAAACCAACCAAACCATGCTTGCTTGCATCTTCACCCCCAACCAAGCAGCCAACCAACAATTTCTTGTTTGATTTATGCCCGCAACAACCGTTAAACCCTAACAACCAAACATGTTTGCTTGGTTGTTTGTCCCAAGCCACCAAGCATTGCTTTGGGTTTAGCCTAAACCGACCAAACGTTGCTTAGTTTGGCCAAACTCGAACCACCCAACCGTGAACAATCAAAGCATCCAATCATTCATTGCTTTGTTTTGCGAAACCAAACCAACCAAACCTTGCGTGTTGTTTTCAAGCCAAACCCGCCAACAACTTGCTGGCGCTCAGGGAATTACCTTCCGGGTGTTGGGGTTTGAACCGTTTGGGGAATCCCTTGGAGGAAACCACAAGGGGATCGTTTAAATCCTGCACCAATTTGCCATTGTTTATTTACAAGGGGCATCATCAGAAACCAGGGCTTCTTAGGTGGTGCCTAAGAAGATTTCGTCCATCCACAGTAGGGGTTATCCCAATTTTCTGCGTATCTCGAACCAAGCGGTGGGCCAGTTTGGCAAGCCAGGAGGCTGAGAAGGCGCAGCAGGAGCAGGAGGAACGAAGGCGTGTCAGATCCGTTTGCAAATCGGAACCTGGTGTTTAGACTATGTGTTATGTTACCCTGCTGGTTTTAAAGGGACTCTATTTATTATTCACCAGTCATATTTGTGTTTGCCAGGGGCTTGAACAAATGGAGGAGAAGGGGCGCAATAATTGCAACTTGGTTTCATAGCCGCCACCCAAGAACCCATTCTCATGGTTTAGGCCCTTATCGTACCCCCATCGCAGGACTCAGCCTACCCTTTCTTTTCCTAGTGGTTGGAAGCGAGCCAAGAGCCGGTCTCCAACTTTGCCTAGGGGGGAGCCTGGAAGGAGCTCCCAGGAGCTCAGTTGCCCACTGCGAATCGACCTTTTGAGCCTTTTGGTTTCTCCTTTTTGGTCCTAAAAGCTTTTGTCATGGCCCTAAACATACCTCTTTAAAAACACAACTTTTCAACTTTTTGGGTAACATGGGCTGTATGTTTGTAAGAAAATAACTTCCCCAGGGCTTGGAGTTTTAAGGGGTAAGTAAAAGGTTGGCCTTTGGGCCAGTGAGGCTAAGGTTCTGGAGCCCGGGACATGGCTCACCCACCACTGGGGCCCAAAGCGAGGGGCTCTCAGAGAAAGTGGATGCCGATGCCTCAAAAAGAAAAAAATGCGCCATGAATTCTAAGAGTTGGAAGCCCCTCCAAAGTGGTTGGTGGACATGAATCCCCACCCATTTGGGTGTCCACCAAAGGGTCCCTAATTGAAATTCAGACCCACATCTTCTCAACCCAGGCGCCAGAAATCAAAGGTGATCACCTTTTGGGGCAACTAAACATGCGGAAAGCTTGCCTTTGGGCAAGTGAGTCTTTGGCCTTTGGGGTTCCGTCTGAATTTGGTCCCGCCAAAATCAGCTACCCATGGCGGGGCCCGAAGGGTTCTGGAAGTTTCTGCTGTATAGTTGGTTGAGTTGTAGTTTCCGTTTAACCCACTAAAAGTCATTCACTTTTTGCAGGGCATCCCAGCTCTTGTTTTCCTTTGCAGACGAGTTTCCCCCGGGTCTCGAAAAGCTGCAAGCAAGGCGCTTCCGCGGGTTTCGGGCGTTGCAGGCGGAAGCGGGAAGAGGAGTACCGCCAGAAGCAGCGGGAGAAGCTGCAAGAGTGGCGGGCGCCTGAGCCGTCGCGCCGCAAGTCACTGGACTCCTTGCCAGGTGTCCCTGAATTGGTTGGCTGATTTGAGCTCCTGGGAGTCCGAGGGGAAATAAAAAAGTCCAATTGAAGCCACCAATTATATAGAGTGAAGCTCATAGTTGGGCTAATGATTTTGATTCAAAGTCAGAAACTGGGTGATGTTTTCCAACATCCAGGGTGTGACTTTGATGCTGATAAAATAGCTTGGTCAGTATAATGTGTGCGTTTGGTTGAGGATATCCTTCTTAGGTTGGTTTTAAGGGATACCAAAAGGAGAACCACTTGGTGCCCCCCAAAAAACGACACATGCCCTTATTTGCCTTAGCTCAGCTGGGTAAAACGAGCTTACTGTATGCCATTCACTTGGAATTCACAACTCTTATTTCCGATGTTGCATTTACAGGAAGGGTTGAACGGAATTTCACTTGCTTGGGATTCTCTTGGGTTAGGTCTAAGTGGGGTGAAGAAAAGAAAGCGGCTGGGTGCTGCAGCTTGCATGATGTTACTAGGATCCACGATCACCCCTCCACTCCCGCTCCCCGCCTCCCCCTGGATTCCCAAAAAGGGACTTCGAAGGCAGCCACAAAACCCCGAGCGATGCTCCTTTGGGTGGATCGTTGCCCATGTGAGCGGGCAAAATCACAAATGTCACGTTGCCAATGATGAGTTTAGAGACATGCAAGGACCCCAAAAGTAAGTCAGCCAGAACTTGCGGCGAAGTGGATAGACCCATTCGGTTTTGCAGCGGCAAGCTAGAGCAACCTTGCCCATCAGGTCGGTTTCTTGCATGGTCTTGCCGTGCAGTGTGGCACCTGACTGGGGAATGGTCGTCGCTCCCACAGAGGCAGCTATTTCCTGCGAGTCCGGTTTTCCTGTTACTTCTTTTTACAGTCAGGAAACGAACCCCATGCCTATGTCTGGAAGCTTCCACAACTTCCCAGGTCCAACTTGGTTTGGGTCTGTTTTTGAGGGTACCCTTTTGTTGGATTGTTTCCAAGGGAAACCAAAGGAAAACCAGCATTTTGGAGGAGTCCCCTAAAACAAGACACACTCATCTTCCATTTCGGCAACGTCCAAGAGTCCCAACTTCCCGTTTGAGATATACTTCCCCCTAGCAACTTCCACGCATCGACTTTCAACAAGAGGTCCCGGATCTTCGACTGGGAGGTCCAACTCGGTCCCCGGGGAAACCGGGAACCCGAGGCAAGAGCGGAAGGCCGAAGAGCGGGCCGCCGAACAGCGGCGGGAGATGGAGCGCCAGGAGGCGCCTCACAGAAGGATCTTCTGGGCAGGAAATTTGGTGTCACTCCCCTCACGGGTTGTACGAGCCAAAGAGCATGGAGAACCCTTACATCAAAGGGTCGTCAACCCCAAGTCACTTGGGTTTGGTTACCGTTTTGGTAAACAAACAGCTTGAAGCGACTTTTTGTTGTTTCAAACTCAGCAAGTGAGATTTGGAGGGGGTCTCGAAATTACTTTGGGATGGCGGTTTCTCTTTGACCCACCATGTAGAAGGGTAGTGTTGAGGATGTCACTTTAATGGGCTGATCCTTGTAATCCCCCTTTTGGGTTGGCTTACACATCACCTCTTAAAGTGCACAGTGAGGTTCCTTTTTGGTGGGGCGAAGGGACAGTATCCACTTCGCACCAGTTGGGATTGATGAATCCCTGTGAATACTGCTTGATACCATCTGGTCCGTCCCGGATTTCGTCCGTCCACATTTGGGTCTACTATGTGAATTGTACGCAATGCATATGTGTGTGTTTTGTTGGCATTTTTTGGGGTGTTCCATCACTGCCCCTTCTTTTAACGCATGTCCGGCGATGTGATTGGTATAGGTCTAGGAATTTCGGAATCGCCCACAACGCCTGGATGATTTTCTGTTGTCTAACTTCCGGCTTTGTTCCGAGACTGGAGAAACCCGCCCTTCTTTGGGGATACCTTGCAGGTTGAAAAGACAGGTCGCAGAAAGAGTGTTTGGTTGACCCAACAGGGCACCTTACGTTTGGAAACACCAGTAACCTGCTAGGTGGTTGAAACGAATGGTCGCTGGTTTGCCCGAAGTGCCATCCCTCTACGCTGACGTTAGCTCCAGGCCACTAGCGTCCGGATCTGACCCTTCAGTCTCCCTTGGTTCCCAGCTTTAGTGGCCCCCCAAAAGGTGCTCAAATTGCCCAAGGAGATTCGACCTTTGACCTTTTGGGTTTCCTGCTTTGGTCCATTTGAGTCAAAGTTTCAACAGGATAAGCTTATAAGCTTTCATTTTCAGGTCTTTGGGCAACTGAGGGCAGTGACCTTGTATTTCCAGGCTGTTTGGGCAAGATACGGCTTAACCCTTTTCTTAGTGACATGAAATAGGGGGCCGACAGAACTCAGGGAAGGCCCAGATCCTAGAGGGGGAGAGTCCAGTCAGTCCTCCAAGTCCCAACTTTGGAGCTGCGGGATTCAAGGGTGTCCAAAAATGTAAATCTAGCAGAAGCATTTTGCAGCAGAAGGATACGAACTGCGATTTCGAATGTTTTCTGCGTCTGGTTTCGGCCCAGAAAGTCGCAGGCTGAGATGAAGAGCGCAGCGCCCAGAGTGTTGGAGCTGCGGGGTCTCGATTGTCATGGGTGATGTCTCACTCCTCCCTTTACACAGTATCTTTTTATGGCCATTTTCGGTGGTAAACAGTTGCAGCTTCATGGTCTTCAGACAGTTCATGCAAAGCGGCTCATTCACAGAAGGCATGAGGCAGTGTCTTCCGCCTGCAAACGCATCCAATTCCTTCATGGCGTGCGTTCGCTTGCTAGACGGTACGGAAGTGATCCACGGCAGAGCTCTTTATGTGGTGGATGAGCTAAACGGACTGGGGGGAAGGGACCTCCCACACGAAAAAGGTAAAGACTTGGATGAGATCTCCAAAACGATGTTGCGTTGTCGACATGAAACGGACTCAGGTGTACAGTGGGCCAAGTACCGTGTCTTTCTCGAAATGGGCCTCCTTTGCTTGACTGCTATTGGGTTGGATCTTTAGACTTTAACTTTTTGGGAAATCAAGGGGTTTTTCACTAAACCCCCCAAAAAGTTAAACTTTTTGCAGGGGGGCCAACAGCAACCAAGCTTGTAGGGGAAATCGGCGGCTGCTCTGTTTCGTGTGCTGAGGCGTGGCCCCCCGCCGCCCCGGCCTCGGAGGACGAGGTTTGGAGCTCCAAGCGGGGCCGAACTGGTGGTTGGAAGGGGGCCAAGGAGCTGCGGGTAATTATCCAAATTTGCCTAGTGAGGACGATACATGGAGGTTCATGTTAATGTTTGGATTAGTCCGGACCCTGGATCCCCCCAAAATGGTTCATTCCCTTCTTACGAAAGGGGAAGCAGGGGTTGTCAAGATTTATCCGAGGGGCTAACGTCTGATAAGCTTATATGGGAAAGAAGCCACCGTTCGGTGGCTCCGGCGCTGCCTTTTGTTTGCAAGCATGGTCGAGCTGCAACTTCCGGGTCACCACTCGCATTGGGCATGGCGATCCGCCGCAGCCGATGTTTGTTCTGGTTCACAGGGAAGCCAAAGCTTGGCAGTCCCCAGCCGTCCGGTTCCTTAGCTGTTTAGTGCTTTTTAGTGCTTAGCGTTTTTCCATGAAAACGCGCAAAAAGTGAGTCTGAAGTGAATATGGTTTACTATACATAAATATGTATGGAATTGTCCCTTGTTGGTTGCAAAGAAATCAACTTCACTGGACACATGTTCTCATTTCTTCCTGGGGACGAAAAAGCAAATGGAGACGTGGCCGCTCAGGTGCCTTTGATCCGCAGCCAGTTTTGGACCAAGCGGCACATCAGCACATCGAGCGCGGTCAAGTCACAACCCGCGGGGGCGACGCGAAAGGCACCTCGCATGCTCCGAGACAGCGCTTCCCAAGAAAACCCAAGATCCAAAGTTAGCCACATCTTCGAAACCGCAAGTAAAAGTGTTCCAGCACGAATCCTCTTCCTCTATCGCGGCCTCATGGCAATGGCAGCGAGAGCGGAGGCCGAAGAAAAGTGAGGTCCCAGTTGTTCAAAGCCGCCCTCTCCCAGCTTGAGTTCCTCTTTAAACCGGTTGCTTTCTGCCTTCCCTTTCTGTTTCCGGTTCGGGTTCCCCGCAAAAAATGGAATCCCCTCCCTGCCCGCAACTTCCCTGTTTCTTGTCTCCAAGACACATGGCAACCCTTGGATGTGTTTGCCTGGAGCGATTCCACCGACGCGGGGGTTCACTACTGTGGGTGGACGAAATCCTGCACCACCTAGGAAACCCTGGAATGATGATTCCCCTGCAGACACCCACCAACAATGACAACGGTTTCTCATGGTTTCATTTCGTGGTACGAAATGGATGTCGTCCATCAGGCTTGGGCTTGCAAGAATTGCAGGTGCTGTGGCGGGTCAGCATTTGCAGACATCCCTGCCTAAAGCGACTGTGACGTGCGGGCTGGTTTGCCGAGGAGCCTTTGAGAAGTTGCCCTTTAAAGTTTCCACCAAACATGCGTTTTTTGTTTCAGCGACATAACAATGAGACCGGGTATCCCCAACAGCCCCGGAACCCCGGCGGAACCCTCCCTGAAAGCTGCCCCGACTCACCCCAGAGCGTATTTGGGCAGAGACCCCATAGCTTTCAGCTGTTGGGGAGAACATGTTCCGTTTTCTGGGTGGTCTCCGCCAAAATGTTAAGCAAAGACCAGGGTAGGCTGAATGTCGATCAGAATCTGATAGTCTGGTTTGTTTTTGTGCCAGTTTGCCAAGCTTTCAGGTGTCAAACATCCCTCGCCAACTGTAAGTTTGCGAGATGCATCCTGCCCTCCAGTCCCTGGTCTCCCAGAGTTCCCCATATTTCCTCTGTGGGTGGTTTAAGAAATCGCTGTTTCGGGGTGGTACTTAAGGTAGTTTTGAGAGCCCTGAGCTGGCTTGCAATGCTAGGTCCCCCAGTAGTGCTCTTTTACCCTTTTTTGGGGGAGGGTTCCCCTACTAAAACAGACTACAGAAAAAAGGGTACCCTTATTCTATCCTCTCTACTGGAGGACCTAGAATGCATGTTTTGTTTGTTTCATTCAATCTTTACTCCTCGTACAGCTCTAGCGCTAGCTCCCCCATTCTTTCCAGGGATCCTTCTTTCTAGAAAACCTCCAGACACCCGGGGAAAACGGATCCGGTTTTTGAAAAGCAGGATGGTTGAAAAGAATGGAACAGGAATCAACTGTTAGAACAGCATGAAACCCGGCTCTGCGAGGCGCAAGGGCCGCAAGGATGGCTTGCTTTGGCGCTGCTTTGGCCGGGGCCTCATCAGCAGAAGGGTAAGTGACAGTTAGGACAGCCAGAAATGGGGGCGGACATCCGCCCGTTTGAGTCTTGTACAGGTTTGCTGACCAGTTCTTAGGATGAATTTCAATTTTGGGGCCAAGCGCAGTTGTGAGCTTCCACGGGTGACCCGTAGAGTCCCAAGACTAGCATCAAGCCCCACATCTTCGCGAGGGAGCTTTCACCAGGTGGAGCAAGTGAGTCTTTACATGGTTTTGGGTGGACAACTCGAGTTAAATGTTGATTGCTCCAATAACTTCAAGAAACACCACGACTGCTTGGAGGCGAATGCTCCAATCGAAGCACAGGGGTAGATGATTGGCTTGATTTCTATGGGCTTCCCTTCGGCTAGGCTTGTGACTTCCTCCAAGCAGAGATTTGCCATCCCTCTGTTCCTTGCAAAGGGGCCTATATCTCTACCTCTCCCCGCACCCGGAAAGGTTCGATCAGAGGCCTCTCGATCAGAAGGTTCCTTCTTTGTGTGTTTCGGGCTTGCTCTTTTTGGGGGCCTTTTCTGAAGGAAACCAGGTTTTCAGGGGTCATGATTTGTTCAACTCTTTTTGCAGGTTCATTCACATGGACATGCGCGGTCACCAAATTTCCCCTGAAAACGAACCTCATTCTGATTCACAAGTGGCGCTTGAATGGATCTAGCATTGCCGTTTTCCCTCGGGCGTCACCAATTTGGCAGCATGGAACCCAAAACACCGCTTAGGGAGTCAGAGGAAGTATTACATGCGTCACTGCTATGTGGTTGGAGGAGGTTTAGACTTTGACTTTTCGGGACATGCAGCATTTTCCCCACTGGACAAATATTATTTGTCCCCTGGGCAAAGTTTCACTGTATTTCCTTGATGCTGGACGGGGACATACCTGCAGCACCCTGTTGCGTGTGGCATCCCTTTAAGCTCACGGGTTTTTGGGCGGGTGTCCCCCCCAACCACCCCCAACGCCCACCCTGCTTCCATGCGCGAGGGTGGGCGGTTTGTTCCAGTTGGGAGGCTCCCCTAAACAGAAAGGAGCCCAACAGGAGGGCTCCCCCAAGAGGAGTTTCCTCTACGAATGTGTTCTCCAGGTTAAATTGCAGGGGGAGCAGGTACCACCGTTGCTTCTTTGCTGGGTTCGCTTTTCAAGACGGAAACCCTCCAATTCCTGTTCGATGTGTTATACCCTTCGTGTCACTGGTGGCAAGAGCTGGGTGAGAGATGGCACAACTTGTATATGGTTTAGCATCCTCTTGAGTTTCAATCGGGGTCCCCGTAAAACAATGGGGGGTTTTGCCTAAGGGGTGTCATCATCCTCATCATCCTCGGGCCAGCCATGATTTCAACCGGGGCAAGGAACCCTAGCGCAGTGCAGACGTCAAAAACCTTGCCTTGCACTGCGTCCGAACGTCGGCCTTGGCTCCAGGGATCGGTCGCCAGGACAGCTCCGGTCAGATGAGAAAAAAACATAATCTCCTTTGACGCACTTTCAGCTAGCTCCCCCAGCCAGGTGCCCTTTTACCGTTTCTTTTTTTAGTTGGGAGGGCTCCAAACTACTAAAATAGACTACAGAAAAAACAAAGTGGGTACCAACTCATTCTATCCTCTCAAATCTGGAGGACCAAGTGTCAGGTTCCGCGGGTGTCGGATCAGGAGTTGACTTCTGCCCACTTGGGCTTTGGATTGAAAAAAGGCTTGCCAAAGAGGGTAGACGACCTTATGGGAAGAATGTGTGGGTGTCCCCCAAAGTGATTCAAGCTTCCGTTTGGCGTGCCAAACTTGTCTCCAACTACTTGCGCAGACAGAAACTGGATGCCAAACTGGCAACAGCTCAATCTGCCCCAAGCCTGCCCCATGCCATGCCCATTTGGTACCCGGATTGGCTAAGATCCTATATCCTGCCGTGCAGGAAAAGCCCTCAAAGCCACCACCCCCCAAATTTAAAAATTTCGGCGCCCAAAGAGGCGTCGGGTAGAGGCAAACCGCCAAAGCGCCAAAGCGCCATGTGGCTTTGCAAGGGCCGTCGGGGGGGCTATGTGCTGGAGCCGTCCCCGGCATCGGAGTGCCTGAACTCCAGCCGCAAGTTCCCCATGTGGGTCATCGATGTGCAAGACCTTTTGGAGCTCCTTGGATCGCATCATCGGATCCAGAAACCGATTGGCTTGATCTAGACGCTTTGGATGCGCGTTGGATGTGGATTTGTGCGGTTCTTCCCCCTGTGGTGTCTTGTTCGTCTTAGTTTGTTCATACTCGTTCAATATTTAAGAGGGGTGGATCCACAGATTCGCCACATCCAAACCGCGTTCTAGAGTTGATTGCCTTGGTTTTTTGAGGACGGTACCCATGGCCGGCCAGAGAACCGAGGATGTTTATTCCGCGCCCTAGGACCCTATTGAACCTAGGTGTATAATACCTGCGAATGCTGCCTCAAGGTCTCGCTGAGGGTCCCTAGCTGGACATGTTGGGTTGATGTCCCACCGAGGTGTGATGAACCATCCGTTTGTCTCATTCAAATATGTGCATATGTGTGCGATCGCTTCCACGGGGGTCAATTTTTCCACTGGTTTCACATTGTTTTGTTTGTAACCACAGGTTCCACTGGTTTCCACTGGTTCACTGTTTTGACAACCAACCACTTCCATTTGCCTTTTCAAAAGTCCTGGCAGGCTCTTTGGTACGTTGGCAAGGCAAATTGTTTGGTTCCCTGCAAGCTGGCCACCTTATATATATATATATATATTTATATCTATCTACAGTATACTGCAGATATATATATATATGTATGCGTGCACAATGGGTGCAGGCTTGGATGCCCTTTGGTATATCCAAAGCGAGTGATAGGGAAGTCAAACGTGTCACCACCTAGCCCCTACGCCCCTTAAGAGCCAACACCCAGTCAAAAGTAAGGAAGGGCTACTCAATGAGAGGCTAGTTTAGGTGTTGGGAATATATGGGATCTTTGGGGATGGACTTGAGCCGTTTTGCGAAGGCTTTTGGGATGGTTCACGCTGCAATCACAATAGCAATCGCATTGACCATGGGGTTCCCAAGTTTGCGAAAAAAACATGTAACTCACCCTGCTACTGGGGTCGACGTTTGGGACCATGGGAGACATGTTTGCGCCTGGCTAAGATGGATGAAAGCAACGATTTGAATGCTAGGTTTAGGGCTCAACATTGGCCAAGGGCAAACAAAGTATTGATTCTTGGTGCTAAACACCATGGTGACACCCCCTGAACCTGACAGAAGGGGAAGAATGTGCTCCAAGTATCAGGTTCCATCTTCACGGGAGGGAGGGTACTTCTACCCAATCTACTGCCTGCGAGTTGCAGCTTGAGGTTGGACACCCTAAAGCCGCACCAGGAGCTCTTGGCAGCCGGCAACTTGCTATTCGTCAGACGTGTCATGCGTGGTCTGTTTTCGGCCACCCCTTCTGTTGGTGTCTAAAAAGAAACCAGCAGGAAAGACAACCACGTGGCATGGCCAGACTTGCTGTTTGGCCCTTTTTTTTGTTTGTTTTCGGTTTCTTTGGCTTTTCCTTTCAACCAGAAATGACTTTCTTTTTGAAGCCAGGTACAGTTCAGTGACCATGTGCTGAAGATGCACCGGTGTACCTGCAACGCAAAAAGACCCCAAATTGACTTTTCCAACGGAACGCAAAAGCTGGAACTGATGCAAGAGAGGCCTCCATCCAAAACCCGTACCTCAACCTTGCATTTTTGGTGGAATCGCTTTTGGTATTGTAGAAATTGAGCCTTTTGGTTCCCCCTTTCTGGCGAAGAAATCCTCCTCAACCCAAGCATAAATTCTGGTCGGCTTCAAGCATCAGGCAAGCTCAAGGAGCACGGGGCCTCAAATGGCCTGGTCACCTTCGTGTCCCACGAGTGGTCCGACTTCTCACACCCGGACCCCAGCAACCACCAGCTGCAGGCCATCGCGAGGGTGCGTGCCAACAAAAAATGGGCCTTCCGATGGGAAGAGCTCCGTTTCTCGGAGGGCCAGAATTGGTGTCAGGGTTTAGGGTTTTGGAGCTTTGAGTTTAGGGTTTAAGGTTTTGGGGTTTTGGGTTTTGGGGTTTGGTTTTGGGTTTTGGGTGTTGAGTTTGGAGTTTTGGGGTTTGGTTTTGGAGCTTTGAGTTTAGGGTTTTGGGGTTTGGGGTTTGGTTTTGGAGTTTTGAGTTTAGGGTTTTGCATTGTATTGGGAGAAGGGGTCTGCCTATTTCAACACCAGCCTCTAAGCCTCTAAGCCTCTAAGCCTCTAAGCCTCTAAGCCTCTAAGCGCCCAAGCCTCTTACTACTAATCAACAGCCGCGCAAGCCTCTAAGCCTCTAAGCGCCTAAGCTTATAAGCCTCTGCTCCCAGCGCCCGCTTAGAGGCTGAGAGGCGTGGAAGCGTGGAGGCTTGCGACTTGGGCCTCTACGAAGCCTCTAAGCGTCTAAGCGCCTATTCCAAGCGCCTAAGCCTCGAAGCGCCTAAGCGCCCAAGCCCCTATTCCAAATGCCTAAGCCTCTAAGCCAAGCCTCTAAGCGCCAAAGCGACTAAGCGCCTGAGCCTCTAAGCGCCTAAGCCTCCAAGCAGCGTGGCGGCTGGAAGACTTAGAGGCTTAGAGGCTTAGGAGCGTGGAGGCTGGATGGCTTAATTAGAGGCTTAGAGGCTTAGAGGCTTAGAGGCTTAGAGGCTTAGAGGCTTAGGGCTTAGGAGCGTGCAGGCTTGCGGACCTAGAGGTTCAAAGGCTTTGGAGCTTGCAGGCTCAGCGGCTGAAAGGCTTAGAAGCTGACAGGCTTGGAGACTTAGAGGCTTAGGGGCGTGGCGGCTGGAAGACTTAGAGGCTTAGGGAGCGTGGAGGCTGGATGGCTTAATTAGAGGCTTAGAGGCTTAGAGGCTTAGGAGCGTGCAGGCTTACGGACCTAGAGGTTTAAAGGCTTTGGGGCGTGCAGGCTCAGCGGCTGAAAGGCTTAGAAGCTGACAGGCTTGGAGACTTAGAGGCTTAGGGGCGTGGCGGCTGGAAGACTTAGAGGCTTAGAGGCTTAGGAGCGTGGAGGCTGGATGGCTTAATTAGAGGCTTAGAGGCTTAGAGGCTTAGAGGCTTTGGAGCGTGCAGGCTTACGGACCTAGAGGTTTAAAGGCTTTGGGGCGTGCAGGCTCAGAGGCTGAAATGCTTAGAAGCTTACAGACCTGGAGACTTAGAGGCTTAGGGGCGTGGCGGCTGGTAGACTTACAGGGCTTAGAGGCTTAGAGGTGCTGGAGGGAGACTAGACGGAAATCCGGTGGATTCCCGCTTAAACTAAGCTCTAAGCGCCTAAGCCTCTAAGCGCCTAAGCCTCTAAGCGCCTAAGCGCTAAGCGCCTAAGCCTCTAAGCGCCTAAGTCGCAAAGCGCCGAAGCTGCTAGGCGCCGAAGCCGCTGAGCGCCGAAGCCGCTAAGCGCCAAAGCCTCTGAGCGCCTAAGCCTCTAAGCGCCTAAGCCTCTAAGCGCCTAAGCCTCTAAGCGCCTAAGCCTCTAAGCGCCTAAGCGCTAAGCGCCTAAGCCTCTAAGCGCCTAAGCCGCTAAGCGCCGAAGCTGCTAGGCGCCGAAGCCGCTGAGCGCCGAAGCCGCTAAGCGCCAAAGCCTCTGAGCGCCTGAGCCTCTAAGCGCCTAAGCCTCTAAGCGTTTGGAGGCTTAGAGGCTTAGAGGCTTAGGGCCTTAGGGGCTTAGGGGCGTGGAGGCTGGAAGGCTTGGAGGCTTTAGAGGCTTAGAGGCTTAGGGGCGTGGAGGCTGGAAGGCTTGGAGGCTTAGAGGCTTAGAGGCTTAGAGGCGTGGAGGCTGGAAGGCTTGGAGGCTTAGAGGCTTAGAGGCTTAGGAGCGCGCAGGCCTAGAGGCGCAAGGACTGCAAAGGCTTACAAGCTTAGAGGCTTAGAGGCTTATGCTTCAAGGGGCTTAGAGGCTTAGAAGCTTAGAAGCGTGTGGCGAATTTCAGACATTGTATTGGGAGAAGGGGTCTGCCTATTTCAACACCAGCCTCTAAGCCTCTAAGCGCCCAAGCCTCTTACTACTAATCAACAGCCGCGCAAGCCTCTAAGCCTCTAAGCGCCTAAGCTTATAAGCCTCTGCTCCCAGCGCCCGTTTAGAGGCTGAGAGGCGTGGAAGCGTGGAGGCTTGCGACTTGGGCCTCTACGAAGCCTCTAAGCGTCTAAGCGCCTATTCCAAGCGCCTAACCCTCAAACCCCTAAGCGCCCAAGCCCCTATTCCAAATGCCTAAGCCTCTAAGCCAAGCCTCTAAGCGCCAAAGCGACTAAGCGCCTGAGCCTCTAAGCGCCTAAGCCTCCAAGCAGCGTGGCGGCTGGAAGACTTAGAGGCTTAGAGGCTTAGGAGCGTGGAGGCTGGATGGCTTAATTACAGGCTTAGAGGCTTAGAGGCTTAGAGGCTTGGAGGCTTAGGAGCGTGCAGGCTTACGGACCTAGAGGTTCAAAGGCTTTGGAGCTTGCAGGCTCAGCGGCTGAAAGGCTTAGAAGCTGACAGGCTTGGAGACTTAGAGGCTTAGGGGCGTGGCGGCTGGAAGACTTAGAGGCTTAGGAGCGTGGAGGCTGGATGGCTGAATTAGAGGCTTAGAGGCTTAGAGGCTTAGAGGCTTAGGAGCGTGCAGGCTTACGGACCTAGAGGTTGAAAGGCTTTGGGGCGTGCAGGCTCAGTGGCTGAAAGGCTTAGAAGCTTACAGACTTGGAGACTTAGAGGCGTAGGGGCGTGGCGGCTGGAAGACTTAGAGGCTTAGAGGCTTAGAGGCTTAGGAGCGCGCAGGCTTACGGACCTAGAGGTTTAAAGGCTTTGGGGCGTGCAGGCTCAGCGGCTGAAAGGCTTAGAAGCTTACAGGCTTAGAGGCTTAGGGGCGTGGCGGCTGGAAGACTTAGAGGCTTAGAGGCTTAGGAGCGTGGAGGCTGGATGGCTTAGTGAGAGGCTTAGAGGCTTAGAGGCTTAGAGGCTTAGAGGCATAGGAGCGTGCAGGCTTACGGACCTAGAGGTTTAAAGGCTTTGGGGCGGGCAGGCTCAGAGGCTGAAAGGCTTAGAAGCTTACAGGCTTAGAGGCTTAGGGGCGTGGCGGCTGGAAGACTTAGAGGCTTAGAGGCTTAGGAGCGTGGAGGCTGGATGGCTTAGAAGCTTACAGGGCTTAGAGGCTTAGGCTTAGAGGCTTAGGAGCGTGCAGGTTTACGGACCTAGAGGTTTAAAGGCTTTGGGGCGTGCAGGCTCAGAGGCTGAAAGGCTTAGAAGCTTACAGGCTTGGAGACTTAGAGGCTTAAGGGCGTGGCGGCTGGAAGACTTAGAGGCTTAGAGGCTTAGAGGCTTAGGAGCGTGCAGGCTGGATGGCTGAATTAGAGGCTTAGAGGCTTAGAGGCTTAGAGGCTTAGGAGCGTGCAGGCTTACGGACCTAGAGGTTTAAAGGCTTTGGGGCGCGCAGGCTCAGCGGCTGAAAGGCTTAGAAGCTGACAGGCTTGGAGACTTAGAGGCTTAGGGGCGTGGCGGCTGGAAGACTTAGAAGCTTAGAGGCTTAGGAGCGTGGAGGCTGGATGGCTTAACTTAGAGGCTTAGAGGCTGAGAGGCTTAGGAGCGTGCAGGCTTACGGACCTAGAGGTTTAAAGGCTTTGGGGCGTGCAGGCTCAGCGGCTGAAAGCTGACAGGCTTGGAGACTTAGAGGCTTAGGGGCGTGGCGGCTGGAAGACTTAGAGGCTCAGAGGCTTAGGAGCGTGCAGGCTTGCGGACCTAGAGGTTTAAAGGCTTTGGGGCGTGCAGGCTCAGCGGCTGAAAGGCTTAGAGGCTTAGGGGCGTGGCGGCTGGAAGACTTAGAGGCTTAGAGGCTTAGGAGCGTGGAGGCTGGATGGCTTAATAAGAGGCTTAGAGGCTTAGAGGCTTAGAGGCATAGGAGCGTGCAGGCTTACGGACCTAGAGGTTTAAAGGCTTTGGGCCACTGAGCCTGCACACCCCAAAGCCTTTAAGTCTTCCAGCCGCCACGCCCCTAAGCCTCCCAATCTCCATGTCTGTAAGCTTCTAAGCCCTTCAGCCTCTGAGCCTGCTGAAAGGCTTAGAAGCTTACAGGGCTTGGAGGCTTAAGCCTCTAAGTCTCCAAGTCTGTCAGCTTCTAAGCCTTTCAGCCGCTGAGCCTGCACGCCCCAAAGCCTTTAAACCTCTAGGTCCGTAAACCTGCACGCTCCTAAGCCTCTAAAGGGGCGTGGCGGCTGGAAGACTTAGAGGCTTAGAGGCCTAGAGGCTTAGGAGCGCGCAGGCTTACAGAAAAGGCTTTGGCGCGTGCAGGCTCAGCGGCTAAGAGGCTTAGAAGCTGACAGGCTTGGAGACTTAGAGGCTTAGGGGCGTGGCGGCTGGAAGGCTTAGAGGCTTAGAGGCTTAGGAGCGTGGAGGCTGGATGGCTTAATTAGAGGCTTAGAGGCTTAGAGGCTTAGAGGCTTAGGAGCGTGCAGGCTTACGGACCTAGAGGTTGAAAGGCTTTGGGGCGTGCAGGCTCAGTGGCTGAAAGGCTTAGAAGCTTACAGGGCTTAGAGGCTTAGAGGCTTAGGAGCGTGCAGGCTTACAGACCTAGAGGTTTAAAGGCTTTGGGGCTTAGAAGCTGACAGGCTTGGAGACTTAGAGGCTTAGGGGCGTGGCGGCTGGAAGACTTAGAGGCTTGGAGGCTTAGAGGCTTAGGAGCGCGCAGGCTTACGGACCTAGAGGTTTAAAGGCTTTGGGGCGTGCAGGCTCAGCGGCTGAAAGGCTTAGAAGCTGACAGGCTTGGAGACTTAGAGGCTTCTGGAAGACTTAGAGGCTTAGAGGCTTAGGAGCGTGGAGGCTGGATGGCTTAATTAGAGGCTTAGAGGCTTAGAGGCTTAGAGGCTTAGGAGCGTGCAGGCTTACGGACCTAGAGGTTGAAAGGCTTTGGGGCGTGCAGGCTCAGTGGCTGAAAGGCTTAGAAGCTTACAGGGCTTAGAGGCTTAGAGGCTTAGGAGCGTGCAGGCTTACAGACCTAGAGGTTTAAAGGCTTTGGGGCGTGCAGGCTCAGCGGCTGAAAGGCTTAGAAGCTGACAGGCTTGGAGACTTAGAGGCTTAGGGGCGTGGCGGCTGGAAGACTTAGAGGCTTAGAGGCTTAGAGGCTTAGGAGCGTGCAGGCTTACGGACATAGAGGTTTAAAGGCTTTGGGGCGTGCAGGCTCAGCGGCTGAAAGGCTTAGAAGCTGACAGGCTTGGAGACTTAGAGGCTTAGGGGCGTGGCGGCTGGAAGACTTAGAGGCTTAGAGGCTCAGGAGCGTGGAGGCTGGATGGCTTAATTAGAGGCTTAAAGGCTTAGAGGCTTAGAGGCTTTGGAGCGTGCAGGCTTACAGACCTAGAGGTTTAAAGGCTTTGGTCAGAGGCTGAAATGCTTAGAAGCTTACAGACTTGGAGACTTAGAGGCTTAGGGGCGTGGCGGCTGGAAGACTTACAGGGCTTAGAGGTGCTGGAGGGAGATTAGACGGAAATCCGGTGGATTCCCGCTTAAACAAAGCTTTAAGCGCCTTTGCCTCAGCCGCTAAGCGCCGAAGCTGCTAGGCGCCGAAGCCGCTGAGCGCCGAAGTAAGCGCCAAAGCCTCTGAGCGCCTAAGCCTCTAAGCGCCTTTGCCTCTAAGCGCCTAAGCCTCTAAGCGCCTAAGCCTCTAAGCGCCTAAGCGCTAAGCGCCTAAGCCTCTAAGCGCCTAAGCCTCTAGCGCCTTTGCCTCCAAGCGCCTAAGCCTCTAAGCGCCTAAGTCGCAAAGCGCCGAAGCTGCTATGCGCCGAAGCCGCTGAGCGCCGAAGCCGCTAAGCGCCAAAGCCTCTGAGCGCCTAAGCCTCTAAGCGCCTAAGCCTCTAAGCGCCTAAGCCTCTAAGCGCCTAAACCTCTAAGCGCCTAAGCGCTAAGCGCCTAAGCCTCTAAGCGCCTAAGCCTCTAGCGCCTTTGCCTCCAAGCGCCTAAGCCTCTAAGCGCCTAAGCCGCTAAGCGCCGAAGCTGCTAGGCGCCGAAGCCGCTGAGCGCCGAAGCCGCTAAGCGCCAAAGCCTCTGAGCCTCTGAGCGCCTGAGCTATAAGCGCCTAAGCCTCTAAGCGTTTGGAGGCTTAGAGGCTTAGAGGCTTAGGGGCTTAGGGGCGTGGAGGCTGGAAGGCTTGGAGCTTAGAGGCTTAGAGGCTTAGGGGCGTGGAGGCTTAGAGGCTTAGAGGCTTAGAGGCGTGGAGGCTGGAAGGCTTGGAGGCTTAGAGGCTTAGAGGCTTAGGAGCGCGCAGGCCTAGAGGCGCAAGGACTGCAAAGGCTTACAAGCTTAGAGGCTTAGAGGCTTGGAGGCTTGTGTGCTTCAAGGGGCTTAGAGGCTTAGAAGCTTAGAAGCGTGTGGCGAATTTCAGACCCCATTTCCCAATGCACTGGGGTTTTGGGGTTTGGGGATTTGGACCACCCCCCCAATCGGGGAGGCAGCGCAAAGTCAAGAGCAGTATCCTTCGTTGCCACGGCTGAAAACAATGTGAAAGCGTCACATAGCAGCGCTTTGTTGGTTTTGCAGCAGGGGTAACCATAGGGTGGCCTCAAAGGGAGTCGTAGACTCATGACACCGGCCATCCTGGTGGCTCAAGGATTCACCTCGAGTCAGCGTTCCCTTTGGAAGAACCGCGAGCTATGGACAAGGTTCTGGTTTGGATTGCCACGTGGATCAAAATCTACAAAAGCTATGGCAAGCCACAGGTCGTCTTTGGCTCCATTTCCTTTTTGTGCCACAGCCATAGGGCTGTGGGTCAAAACCAATGGTACCATTTTTGGGGAGGCGCACCTCCATTTTAGAACCTATTTTAGTGGTTGGATTAGGATGTTCACTGAGGCTAACCGGGGTTTTGACCCGCAGCCATAGTGCGGCTCGTCTGGTTTGAGGGTACCGTTTTCGTGGTTTTGAAAAGGATGTGGGGGGGGAGGGGGGGGGGAATCGGGAAGGCCTCCAAATTGCAAGGCTCGAGCTCGCTGCTCCGGCAAATCCGGCGGTTTCGCCCGCCGAATGTCTTGGCCTTGTAGTGCTGATTGAGCTCCCAAGCCTTTGCTGGCTGGGGTTTTGGGGTGGATGTTGGTGTGTATTTGTTGATTTAGTGTTTTTGGTTTTTACCTTGATATACATCCATATACATGTATACGTATGCATAGCGTATTTTAAGATGAGGGTAGGGCTTTCCAATCAATTGGAGCAACCAAAACACGAGTCTTTGAGTCTTACCCCAATTGGCCCCGGCCCTGGGTCATGGGTCGCACCAGTCTTGGCAGCGCAATAGATACGGTTACGGTTGTTTATCTGGGGACTGTTGGTGGGCATCATCTAGTGGTAACTCTCGCCATTGAGATTCATATCCGTTTTAATGTGTCCAAAAAGAGACCCGAGGGCAAAACCCGCCTTTCCAGGCCTTGCAAATGATGATCCGGAATATACGCGCGGGCACGGTGTCGGTCGCGCACGACAACTACTCCTTCGTGCGGTTTGGCTTGAACCGAAGCCCGGCTCAGTGGTATCGATTGTCCTTCTCTTGGCAGGTTTCCCACGGAATCGTCCAACCAAACAAAGCACAGAACACCGAAACAGCACCCAAACCAGCACCCCCCCAACTGCCCTTTTTCCCATACGTCCAAAATCCCAAGTACTGTCCTTACCTCTTAAAAACACCACTTTTCGGGTAACATGGGCTGTATGTCTGTAAAAGATTAACTTCCCCAGGGCTTGGAGTTTTAAGGGGTAAGTGTCCCTCAGAAGCAGTGCTTGGGACCTGAAGAAAGATGCCCGCCTTTCGACCTTTCCACTGAGGAACGGTGTCCCTGTTCGAGCTCAGGCTATTGGCGGAGGGCAGCCTTTGGATCGACTTTCTATGTGTGCCCCAGGCGTGTTGCTCGGCCCTTGGGTGGAACGGGCCCGAGTTGTTCCATCTTTCTCTCACTCTCTGAGGTTATGGACATTAAACTTGTTGGGAAGACGTTTTTCGTGGGCAAACAAAGATTGACTTTGTTGGCCAGTCCACTCACGAAGTGAATTTGGAAGGGGCTGCCTTTAAAATCAAGCAATCCAACAAATGTGCCCCCTTCACTCTCCCATGGCACTCTTGTTCCCTTTGAAATCAGTTTGCCGTGGCAACAGGTTTTTGTCCCTTTTGTTTGGTGGCTTCCCCGCTGACAATGGACCCCAAAAAAGCCAAAAAGAGAGAAATTGTTCTACCATGAAGCTGCTTTACTCTTTACTGGTTATCACTCGACCGAATCGAGTGATGATCTTTTGGAAACAAACAGCTTTCAAACCCGACTGCCTGGATTTGTGGGTGTGCAATTGTGCCACGGATGACACACGTTGCCCCATTTCCCAAGGTGCAAAGTAGCAAAGGGGCCAATACAAAAGGTCAGCCTTTTGCTCGGCGCGTGCGGATCGCCTCACAAAATGTGGGGGCATTTTACCAGGAGGCTCCCTTTGGGTGCCGAATCCCAGGTTTTAGTGGCACCCTCCTTTCAAAAAAGGGGAGGGGTGTGGGTCCCATTTCGGTTGCTACTCGTGTCACAGAAAGGCACGCGCAAAGCACCCGGATCTCAACAAGTCCTCAAGTGCTTCTACATTTGGCTGTGGGTCAAAAATACGTGCCAAGAATGGAACCAAAGACTAAAACCAGCGGTCCAATTCCTGGTGGCTTTGACCCATACCCATTTGATGGCCCCAAGTTGTACACCCCTCCTGCCCCCCAAAAGGTACTTCGGGTGTGCCTCAGGTTGGTGCCGGACGCCGGAGGAGCTGGCGAAGCAGCAAGCGGAGCTATGGGATGCCGTCCCTTGAAAACGACGCGGGGTGTCCATGCGGGTTCCTTGAAAACCAGCCCAAAAAATGGCATCCTCAAGAAAACCTATTTGGAAGGCAAACCCCGTCTTGCGAAGGGAAGCCAAAAGTAGTTAGGTTGTTGCAACTGGTTTCCTGGAAGTGGTTACATGCGCATTGGTTTTCAGTTTCTTTGGGGACGGAGCTGCTCTTTCTAAACGACACGCTTCGCGTGTGACATTCAAGATGATGCTTCAATGGGACCCGGTAGCGTAGGGTACTCCAGAGGACTAAGGATGATTACTACTACTTACTGACTGGGTCTGGAGTTGGAAAACAGCGTCTGGGTTTGTGATCCCATTGGCCTTGAGCTAAGATAGTCATCGGGATTGTGTTGCTCATCCCAAGCCACCTAGCCGGGCTGATTTCAAGCGAGCACCCAAAACCCCATCAAGGCCGTTGCAGTAGGCGGTTCTGCCATGTTTCTAGCCGGGTTATGTCAACGTTAGGGGTCCTGGATGCTCAAAACGGTTTTGCCTTTGGGGTGATTCTCAGTGGGAGTGTAGGGAGTCTGGTTTCCAACCGCAAACCTGGTCTTTTGGACCTCCAGAAACTTGTTGGTTCTGGTTGCAACCCAAATTCCAGCGGTTGGGTTGAAGAACTGCCCTGACGCCGGGACAGACCCCCCCCCTGTTAATCAACCGGTTGCCATGGAGTGCAGCCTGCCCGGTGACAGTGCGATGAAATTCCCCTAATGTGCCGATGTGCTGTAAGGTCCCTATATCCTCTTTTTTCCTCCCCCGCACAAATGTGATGCTGATCAGGCACCCCCTGATTGGCTTGGATGGGTGCTTTGGGGTTTTGAACGGGTCCCTGGATCTTGTAGAGGAGAGATGGGGAAAAAAAACGGAACACCACCTAAACCACGAACTGGGAAGCTGAGTTCTTGGGGTCCCGTTTTCTTTTTTCGCATCGATGAAGCCCCAGCGCTGCGGGTTCTTTGTGGTTCCCTGCCATCCGGTTCCTCAGCTTTTTCGCCTTTTGGTGCTTTTCGCGGTTGGGTTTCCATTTCACCCACTACAAGTTAGTTAAGCTTTTCGCGGGGGATCTGAAAACGGACAGCCCAGGGTTTGTCCTTTTTGGTTGTTGTGGAGAAAAATAGATGGCGATTCCTGGTTTACCTGGTGGTTTTTTTCTCATCTACCAGGGAAACCCATCTATTTCCAACCTGTAATTGGACACCTCTGCCCTGGTGAGTTTTGGTTGTTCCGAAGGATTGTCATCATCCAAATTGGGTCCCATTTTGCCTCATTCGCACCTGTGATGAAGCCCAGCCCTGTGAGTTTTGGCTGTTCTAGGTTCTTGGTGGTTCCCTGCCATCCGGTTCCTCCGCTTTTTCGCCTTTTAGTGTTTTTCACGGTTGGATTTCCATTTCACCCACTAAAAGTTAGTTCAGCTTTTCGCGGGGGATCTCTGAAAACGGAGGAGGGCCCATTGATTGAGCCTTGAGTTAGGTCATGAGCCTCCACACTTACGTGGCCCAGAGCTCCTTCTTCGCCATTCTTGCCCCCACACAGCGCCACAAATCCGACGGCCGGCTCATGGGCTACAACTCCTGGCGCCGGCGCGGCTGGTGCCAGCCGGGGGCCCCCAAGAGCGTCGGTTCCATCGACGTCGGCGTGTTCGGCTTGGGGCTGGCTTGGGGCGGAGAAGAAACGCACCGGGTCTTTGGTGCATTTTGCGAAAGGATGTTAGGACTGTGACTTTCTGTCAACTAATGGGTTTTCCATTAAACCACTAGAAGTTATTTTTTTTAGCAGGGGAGCAGAAAGCAGCCCAAGGGTGTAGCCACGTCCAACTGGTTGGGACCTCCAAAACTCCGCGGTTGCAACGAGCCTAGTCCAACTTTTTGGTCCAATGGCGATTGCAGTGGAAAGTACCAGTAGGTTGATCAACTTTTGCTTCGGGGAAATCCGGTGACCCCTGTCAAACCTGGCTTCGGGGCAAACCGTGCGCGGCAAAACCGGAGTAAAATGAGCAAACCGGAGAGGTCGAAAAAAGGCAATGTGTGCAACAAGAAAAAGTGGGATCCTCTCAACTTACTAGTCCAAACTTTGTAGCTGGGGAGATGAAGAAGATTGTTGCTGGGACTCAGAAGACTAACTTTGAGGAGATCCAAGGTGAAATTGTGTTTTCTAGAAATTCGGAGGCGACAGTTCGCACTACGACTTTGGGTGCTTGAAACATCGCCCCATTACCAGCTGTGTTCGAAGTTCCGACTCCATGTGAAGCAAGCAAAATTGGGGTGTATTTTGTAAGAACCTGGATCGCCAGTTGCTGCTTTTCTCCATGAACTTTACCCCAAAAAACAGCAACAGACTGAACAAAGCAGCAACTTGGCTATCTAGGGACCCCTGCAAAGCAATTCGCAAGATCCTTCTGCCACATGGTGGTTTCCTGCAGTGTGAGCCTTCGGTCCTATGACAGTTGCCAGGCAAAAGGCCTGCCCCTTTGGAGAATTCGAATGGGGGTGTGGCGTACTTTAAAGGTTCGGCTGGACTGGTTTGCCACAGTGCCAGCCTTCAGCCCGCCCTTGCTAGTTTGTGTGAACCCCATCTAAAGTTATCAACTGATGTGCGGCTGCTGAACCCCGTTTGATGTTTTCGGACTTGGGTAGAAAAGACCTCCTATCAACATTAATTACTATACATGTACATATGCGTATATGTCTCACTTAACTTGCCAACATGTTGCGTTTTGACCTTTTGATTTTTCCTGGTCGTAGCTTTTTTATTGCCAGGTCCCGGGGCAAGCAAGAAGCAGGGGGCCCTTATGACTTCCAGGCAAAATCTTGGCCTAACGGGCCTATCGGATGCCAGGTTCGAGTTGGCGGTGAGCATTCTTCTTGGCACCAAGCCCGTCATCCACATCGCCAGCGACCAGCTGCTCCGCAACATGTGCCTTCCTGGCGGAAGCATGTGTGGCTTCCCCCCAACGAAAGGTACAGCAATGAAAAGCACATGTTGAGAACCCCCCCAACTATGGCAAGGGTCAGTCTTTTGTGGCATAATTTTGAACTGATATTGCATGGTCAGGTTCGCAAAATGTGGACAAGAATGAAACAGGTTTGATTTAGTGCCAACTTGTTGGGGGCTCCTCTTATCTTTTATCGGCAGGGATCACGTGTTGAGTCGGATCAGCTTGGCGACAGGGTTTTCACTTTTTGCAGCCGTATCCATCAGCCAAGAACTCGATTGTTACGTCAGGTACATGAGAAACGTTTCTCAGCTCTCCCCCTGCTGCGGAGATTTCACCAATGCCTGCGACCGGGAATTTGTGAAGGATGCGCTGACAGAGGTCATGAAGTGTGAGGAGCGGATGGCCCAGCACCACTTGGAATGGACCAAATCCGTTCGCACCACTTGTCCTGGGGTTTGATTCCCCATTCTTTGCCAGCATCGTTCTTTTCAAGCATCGTTCTTTTCAAGCCGTTTTCCCGGGGGTTTCCGGAGGTTTTCTAGAAAGATTCGGATCCCTGGATTCAGAATGGAAATGGAAGGTAGCCCTAGACTTCGTGGTACCGACGCAGAGGAAGCGACGCAGACAGCGAGGGGTTTCTGAACGATGGTCGGTGCAGGGACGGCTTGAACCCCAAATGGGTGTGGCTCAAAATTAGACAGGAGGGGTTCCATTTTTCCACTTACCAGGGCAACCCATTTTGGAATTGGGGCTTAATAACTTATTTGGGCATTTACAAGGGGCATGGTCATTTTGGGGCTTTCTACTTGGTGCTTCGCGGCGGATTTTTCGCTTTTGCATCCAGATCCAGGTTCGAAAGCCCGGGTGAACCATGGACTAATTGGGCTCAGTGGCACAAAGCTACCAGGTGCCTGAAAAGTGGATGGATTGGCGGGGGGGAGAATTCGACCCCTGGAGATGTGCATTTGTGGCAACCATTTTTTATGGCAACCATTATATTACCATTTTTGCCATATTTTAATGTCTTGCCTGAATGTCTCCATTTATGGCAACCATTTTGGTTCCCCTTCTCTGAAAAAGTACTACTCCCAAACTGGCGGTTTTGGGGGCCAACATCCCGGACAGGCGGAGCAGCTGCGGTTCAAGGAGAATTTCCACCGACTGCAGCTGCTGGACTCTCACTTGCAAAGCAACATGCAGAAAGACCATGCAATTTGTTGAGGCCCCGAACCACAAGACCCAGCACTAGGGGAACTGCCTTTGGTTTTTCGCACGGTCCGGATACATCCAAGCCAAGGTTGGCCTAGTTTGGTCACTAATTCTTTCCGGGATTTGTTTGGTGCCAAGTTGGGGGGTAGGAAAGTTGGAACCCAGTGGTTTGAACCCCAACCAATGCTCCTACGAAGTTTTGTCCAGTGCCAGAGTGCCAGAGGTGGTCTCTTTTGGAGCAATCCGTGGGCTCCCCAAAATCCTGTGTCAGGTTCCTTGTTTCCATTTCCGTTCGGTCACTTGAGACCGAAAAAGAGGCCATGTTCTGGCTTCAGTGAGGTTGTTGAAAGGCCCATGTAAACCTTTCTAACCATCTCAGAACCAAAAGTCAATAAGTTTCTCTACTGCTATTGGCTTGGATCTTTAGACTTTAACTTTTGGGATTCCCCTCATACCTCCAAAAATCAGCAGCCAGAAGGTGAAAAACAATTTGCTGGGGGATCTACTGCACCACAGGTTTCGGGCGCAAAAATCCACGGCCCCTTTCGGGATCTCAGGATTGCCTGCAGTCCAGACTCTTGCGGTGCGCCGGGGAGTGCGACCAGAGCCCCGCTGTGCGCAAGAGCCGTGGCACGGAGTTTTAAAACGAAACGAGAAGGAAGCGCTGGCCGATTCGGATGTTAGGACTTTAACTTGTTGCCAACTAATGGGGTGTCCATTCAACCACTAGAAGTTATATATATATATACATAGCAGTAGCAGAAAGCAACCGAGTTTTTGTGAAACCCCATGAGTACTGGTTGATATACCACGAGTCCCAACTGATGCGTAGCAGGATTTGTCCACACTTTACGTCCCGTTTGGGCTTCACCATCACCTTGTTGGCAAGGGTGATGTTTAAGGAAGACATATTTGAGGACCCCTGACCCTTTCCAAAATTAACCCACCCTCTTTATGAGTTTGGCCTTTATTGGGCTTCCATTTTTCCCTTTCACTATGTGAACCAATTCGCCAAACAGCATACCAAAAGCTTGGTTATGGCCGGCCATTCCCAAAAACTCAACGACTGTGTGCAATGTTTACCACATTTACCCACCCCCTACTCCAAATGCCCGCTTTTTTCAGGTTCTTTTTGGGAAACCTGGTTTTCCATGTTAATTACCTCATTTTGTAGTAGAGGGTCGACATCATACCCTGAAAAAACGTGGGTATTGGGTGTAGGGGGGATTCTGACTCGGTCCAAGGCTTACTTTCCTGGACTTTCGTCACTTTTGGGCTTCGTTGTTGGCCCATCCACTCGGATCGTATTTTACCTACTGTCGGACTGCAACTTGGTCCAATGTCGGTTTTCCATGAACTCCAGGGAGCCTTAAAGAAAAGGAAAAATAAACAAACATAAACAACACTTTGGAAACCCAGGTTAAAAACGGCGATAGGTTTTTAAAAAGAATGGAATCGGGATCACCCCCTAGATTTCTGGCCGTGGCCACTGGGTGTCGTCCGAGCAGATAAAGCCCACCTTTAGACCGTTTCGTCCATATCTCGTGAAGATCCCTAAAGGTAAAAGCTTTCACTTCCAAAGTGGTGTTATAATATATATATATATATATCACCTACATTCGGATGCGGGAAATCGGTCTCAGGAACGCCTCGTTGGCTTCAAGAACCATGTTCTTCGCACAGATCGAGCCATCTAAGCGGCACGGATGGACCGACCTGCACTACTGCGTGGCACGCAACGACTTGGAGATGACCAAGACGTTACTGGAACAACGCGCGGATGTGAATGCGAAAACCCTGGCTCCATCACTCAATCTTGCTTCTTTTTGGCCCCTGTTGGCTCTCCTTTCTCTTCCCTCTAAACCAGCAAAACGTTTTGCCAGTCGTTAAGCAGTTTGGCCGAGGTTGCTGACAAGGATTTCTTCATGCGCTCCAACCTGACCCCATTGCATATTTGGGCTTGCTTCCCAGTCGCTCGCTCAGATGGCACCCCTCGCGGAAGGTTGCTCTGAAGGTAGGCGATCTTTCGTTGTCGCTTGTTCGGGCCGCTTCCAGCTTGGCTCTGCAGAACTAATCGTGTGGTTGTTGTTTGGCGCAGAAAATAAACACCAGCTACGGGAAATTCTAGAGGACGTTAGTCAGAGAGCCACCAAACACCATGGGAATCTTGCGGACTTCCCCGTAGGATGTCTTGGTTTAGATGACTAGCTACTGGAGCCTTGCCTGGTGTTTTGTTGGTTTCCCCTTACAGGCTTGGCTTGAAGCACTGGGTTGTAGAATCTTTGTCCAGATTAAACCCGTCCTAGCAGGGTATTACCCTCGAAAAGTGGTCTGCCCCCCCCCCCACTTCTAAGGGAACACCAAATGAAATTCAACGAGAGTTGATTCTTCCGGGGTTCGCCGTTACACCGCAAAAGACAATGGATGGATGAACAGGCCGAGGTTTCCGCTTATCCGCGTTGGGCAAGATCAGGGACCCAAAAGGTTAGCAACTTGTATGTGGGTGTCCCTAAGGGGCAACTGAGAGTGTGGTTCCCCTGGTTGCCTATATATATATATATATATGTTTTTGGGGGGAACAACCATTTTGTTGGTAAAACAAACCAGTACAGGCGCTTTTGGCCGCTCAGGAAGCGAGTTTTTGCTAGGTAATTAAATTGCATCTCGCGTGAGGTCAACCACGAGCTGGCAAAGCTGCTGGTGGACTGTCGGGCGGACGTGAACAGCCAAACCGATGCATGGTTGTTGTTGGGAAACAGTTCTTACGTGTTTGCTTATTGTGGTTTAGTGGTGGAAATCCAACCACTTAACTGCTAAAATTTATTTGTTTGCCCCCAAAAAACATATGTCGCTCCTCTTCCATCGTCAACCAAGGATGGTTGGACGCCTTTGAATCTCAGCATCCAGCTGGGCAGCGTCTGCGCCTGCCGCTCCTTCTTGCAGCTGCCGCTCAGCGAAAGCCCCAAAAGAATGTGGGCGTGTCTTTTCATGGTTGTCGTTGGGACACATTTTACATTTTTGCTTACTGTGGTTTAGTGGGAAATCCCCACTTAACTGCTAAAACTTAAATCTTTGCTCCCCTTCCAACGTCAACCAAGCAAAAGAAAGTGGGCGTGTCTTTTTGAGCTCTTTGGGTGTCCTTAACAACCAAACAACTTGGTAGCCTCAAAGCAAGACACGCATTGTTCAGGCATTTGGAGGAAACAAGGGCAGGGTGGTCGAATCCTATCGCAGCCACGACCTGTCAGTTCCTTGGCAAATCTTTGGTCCAGGTTTCAGATATGCCTGTGTTGTCCAAAGCCCGGCCTTTTGACCGTTTGGTTTCCCGTTTTGGACCATATTTTGTCAAGGTCCCAAAGTGGAACCTTTTACTTCCAGATCCTTGTCCTTTTTCCCCTTATCCCTGGCCCACAAGCCCAAAGGGTGTGTGTGTGTGTGCGTGTGCGTTTTCAGAGTGCCCTTCAAAGGTTGGTGCAAGGGGAAACCAACAAGACATCCGATGTGGAGGTCCTTCTAACATACCCAAAAGGTGATCACGCGTCACTTCCGTTCTGGGTTGCAAGTGAGGTCAGCGAATGTGCACCACGAGATTGGCTACATGAGGCGGGCTCAGCTGATCACTGTTGGTTTGCTGTTTTATGTGTTGCTTGTCACACTGCAACCGGCCAAAGCGTGGTTGGATCTTGAACCTGCAACTTTTGGGACGAGCAAACAGGGCTGTTCCCACCAGATCCTGGTTGCGAAGCTTGCAAGTCAGACGCGAGCAAGGCCCTAAACAGGGCCACTTTCCGACGTATGTACCCCGTGTTCCTACCCCCTGGCTTCTTGAATGCTAACCCAGTTTATAATTGGCAGGTGCCCGTTTTGAGGAGAGGGGTATGAACATCAGCAAGCCTTTTGGGCTCATGTACTCAAGAAATATCCCAGTTGCCACTTCGGCTAGCAGGTAACCGGCCAATTTTCCTTTTGGCTATGGTTCCCTTGGTTACCTATACAGGGGCATAGAATCACCGGAGATATGTACAGCCCAGGGATCCACCAATTTAAGATTCATCCCACCCCCTCCAAATGGGGGTCTTGTTGGAGGCAGTGGTGTTTAAATGTTTTTGCGGGAACCCAAAAACGAACCACCATTTTGAAATAAGGAATCCCTAACTGTCTTGTAGTTTCCTTTAAAACAGCCCAAAAAGGGGTACCCTCAAATGGAGGTAATTCATACCCCATGTTCCTGGTTTTACGAGGAAACCAACAGGAACACCGCCCTATGTTGTTTGGTGTTTTTCTTTTTTTTAGGGGGGAAAGGGTCCCGGATCGATCCCCTATATACAAAAAAGGACGTCCGTTTCATCCGGGGGCGGTTTTCGTTTCGGTGAGGGTGACCCCGCTGTGGCTGGCGGTGGCCAACGAGTCCAGAGACGTGGTGGCGGTTCTGCTGGAGGCGAAGGCCGATGCCCGGCACAGCCTCGCGGGCCTCGGCGCCCTTGCAGAGAGGGGAGGGAGGGGAGGGAGGGGAGGGAGGGGGGAGGGAGGGAGGGGGAGGGGGGGGGAGGGGAGGGAGGGGAGGGAGGGGAGGGGGAGGGAGGGAGGGAGGGGAGGGGAGGGAGAGGGAGGGAGGAGGGGAGGGAGGGGAGGGGAGGGGAGGGAGGGGAGGGGAGGGGAGGGGAGGGGAGGGGAGGGGAGGAGCCATGGTGGAAACCATGATGTGTGTTGGGATTTACCAGGGGATTTATCATATGGTTTCTTAGGTGGTGCGAAATGGATCTCGTCCATCCACTGCATTTAGTCAAGGTCAAAAAAGGTGATCACCTTTTCGCAAGTGCGAAGTAGCAAAGTACCTTGGTTTTTTTTCGCCCACGGACAACTGTTTAGCAAGGAGAAGAGTTGTAGCCTGCTTTTAACTTTTAGCTTGCTGACCACGTGCTTGGCCGAACACGCAAGCAGGGGTCTCCACTTGGGTGGTCAACCAACTTTGTAGGTTACAGCCATGCTATTTAGCGTGTCTTGAATTGTAGAAGGATACATCCAAAGCCTGTTTTAACAGGAGGTGCCGTGTTTTGTTCCGTGTGCACTAGGCAAGTGAGCATATGTATCTTCTCGGCGGCTTCAACCATGCTGGGGAAGGACGAAATCCTGCACACCTACGACACCCTGGAATGATGGTTCCCCTGTACATACCAGCTAACAATGGTTTCCCATGGTTTCAAAGTGATGCAAGATTTCACCGTGCACAGTAGGAACCCTGCTTCCCGGAGCAGCATTCTATGGGAATCTAGAATCCAGAGTCTCGTGCATAATGTTTTGCTTTGTGAAAACTGGATGACGCTGTCGAATTAGCTTTACTTCTGGGAGGCCTTTGATCGTAAAAAGGCCCCCTTCCCTCCTTTGTAGTAGTTGTGGGTAGTAGGCACCATCTCAGATTGTGTGTTTTGTAGTCATACCCGCCGGTTCAATTGTAACCTCCCCCCCCCCCCCCAAACTCAAGGTGGACAGAACCAAGAAAAGCAAAAGCGGCACACTTTGCTTTGCTTGCTTGCATGAGAGGCAACCACCCCTGAGTGCATTTAGTCGTTCCGCAATCATGTGTTTGCATGCCGTGTTTAGTCCTCGACAAGTTGTCAGATGGAATGTACTTAGCATGAATCGTTTTGTAACAGTCCAATGGTGATTGATTTGCTTGCTCTGTTTCGGCCAAATGTGCTTCTCAACGAACTACGCATGGCGCTTGGACAGTGATCTAATGATCTCCTTTCTAGTGATGTTTTGTTTGAGGATTGGTGCTACAGAAAAAGCGTTTACCCTGCCACAAGATGAACAGGAAAGCCAAACGAGGCACGTGGGTGATGCCAAAGGAAAAGCGCTGCCCTCTAGGGCGGCATTTCTGGCTTCGTTTCTTATGTTCGCAGCGAAGGATAGATCGATGGAGTTGGGGGACTCCGGTCCCATTACATGTTCCGCTTCGGTAGTTTGGAGATTTGAACCGGTTCTTGTAGAAGGTAAACAGTGTTTTCTTCCCCAACCTCCAAACCACCAAGATGGGAGGTGTCCAATCGCTTTTGGCGGGAACGGGTCCCGAACCCCGCCCGAGGTGCACTGCACATCATGGCGCTGCTTTCCCCTGGCGTTGCCTTGCCGCTGCTCCTGGCGCAAGATCTCGACATCAATGAGCCCTGCTGGTTTTCCCTCCGCGGCTCGGCCGAACTTCACGACTCCTGGGTTACGATGGGGCTAAGCAAAGCCGCTCAAAGCCGATGTTTTCCAAAGGCAGCTTCAAGGTCAGAGTGTACTTGGGTATGCTTTGAGTCAGGCTGCCCGAAATGTACGCAATTGAAACAACCACATCGAATCCCCAAATCCTGATGAGTAGTAAAGCAGGTACGCCCTGTTGGTTTGTTTCAAAGGTAAGCCAACAGGAAAAGCACAATTTTGGGATCTCCAAAAAACAGACACACCCAGATCTAGCCGAGCGGAACGCTCGGCTTTTTCAAATCACTCGATGTTTGGGCAGTGGCCAGAGCCTGTCGTTTGGCTAAGCGAATTGACCTTTGACCATGTTTGTTTTCGGGGGCCCCCCAAAATGGTGGTGTTCCTTTTGTTTTGCCTTTAATCCAACCCCCGAAAAGGGTACCCTCGAAAAGGACAGACACATTTTGCCAGCCAGTTCGGTTGTTTGTCAGAGTCGACAGATGGCCGTTTCCAG